ATTCATTTCATTTGTATCTTTCATAACTGAAAATGCTTTTGCCTAAAAAGAAGAAAAAATATGTTGGTTAAACCAATGAATAAATTTGAAAGTTTGAGGATTGACAAAAATTTGTTTCGAGATTTGTTTGGCTCGTGTAAGAGGCTATCTATTTCGTATTTCTAAAATCCAATCTTCAATACTATAGTTCACATCTTTCTGAATATATGATCTATCGATTTTCTCATTTTACGTTCTAATTCCTGTTATACGTTTAAACCTTTTAGTGTCTCTAGCTTTTACTTCCTTCAATCTTTTACTCCTCTTAGTACAGTCGATTAATACAGCCGATGTGTGATTGACCACAATTTGTACCTTTTAAAATGACTCAACAGAGTAAAAGAAATTAAAAATCCCAAAAAGATATGTTTATTTATCTATTACTATACTCTATATACTCCACAGCTAAAACGATCTCGAGACAAAGTTTGTACTTTTCTACTTCTCTGATAAATTTCAAATTAACATACTAATTCTTTTATATATTGAGATAGAATCACTTCGCTAAATATAATCAATGTAACACGGCAAAAACTTAATGCAGCTTGAACAATTTCACGTTGTCGCGATTGTAAAACAAGAATTAATGTAGACATCAACTCATCAACTATTGTACCAGCCAAATTTTCTAAAAGTAAAACATAAGATGAAGAATGATTCTATACATATCTATAAATAATAAGAAATACCTTTAAATTCCAAACAAAGACGACCTAATGCTAATAATGTTGATGATATCATTGATGTTGAATTACTTGTTAAACCACTCATAGTAATATGAAAAAATTCAGTTAATGATTCTAAAAAAACATTAATAATTTGTAAACGAAATAGAAGAATTTAATGCTGTATAAATTATCTACCAATGAAATTATTTTCACTTATTTTAATCCACAATTTTCCACATTGAATAACAAGTAAATAGGCACAATGACGAGTTTTTCCATTCATTTCTTGAAGACATAATACCGCCTAGAAAATATGAATCATATTTTGATAGATGTTATTGAACACAAAACTGTTTTGAAATTTATCATTTTCAGCACCTAACACATCAGATAGCATAGAGTCTGTTTCCTCTTAATAGAAAATCCTCACCCATCCTCACCCTCACCTACGTTTATACGAGAAGAAATTCTTGAAAAGCCCGCGAACATCGATAAAATATCTCTCATTTTAGTTTTTTAATTTTACATGACGATCAGAACTTTGCTTTACTTGTGGCATAATTGTTTGGATATTGCTGACTGTTTGATTTGCCTCCATTTCCATTAAACTTGTAATACATCGAATTTGAGACTAGAATAATAATGAAATCTATCAGTTTAAAAGACATATGAGACTAATAAAGATAATAATAACAGCACTATGATTTTGAATTACAGTAACTTAAGTTGTGGTTGTTTTTTTATTTACTGTGACAAAAACACGCTGATAATTTTCATATAAAATGTGAAGCATAAAAAAAAGAAGAACCACGTAAAAAGACAATTTTTGTGTTTGATCCGACCACATATGACAATCAGAAAAGAAAATTACTTAATAAAGAGTATCTAATTTAAAACAATTTAAAATTACCATTCCTATAAAACTTTATATTACTAAAATTGAGATGTTCTACAGCAATTATTGAACATACATTTCACTCTGTCTGATTTATCCTTGGCGCTTTGAAAATTTCTACTTTCAATAATTTTGGTATTTTTTTTCTAAATTGATTCTCTTTTATATTTTTCAAAACTATTCATACTTTTAATGTCGATGAGCATATTAAATTTTTTGTTTTTTTTGTTTGTTTATCCGTAGTTGATAATGAATTGAATTTGTAAAATGAATTTAAATATGTTTAATTTATCATCTGACACGATAATAGATAAATCTGAGAATGATGATCGAAGTGAAATAAGAAAAAAACCTACTGTCACTTCCCTGTCACCTGTCAGAAAAGTCGAAATAACAAAACGATGTTTACATGAAACATCGTTTGTTGACTCGATGAATTCGATAAATAAATATTATAAAATGTCTAGAACTTTAGAAAAGAAAAATTTTTCAAAGAAAAATAATTATTTTAAAATGAATATGAATAATGTATCTGTTCCAAATCGTGTTGGATCACTACAAAGTTTAAAATATGACATAATGAATGATCAATTATCAATAAAAAATAATGATTATGAGACGGATGAATTAGATTTTGATAAACATACAAGTTCTTCAAAACAAAATGAAACATTACATAAAGTTATAATTTCAATTTCATCATTACCACAACATTACTGTATTAAAACATTAATGAAGATTAGCGATGATCAGATAAACAAAATATGTGAGTAAGAAATGATATTTGTATGGACCTTTTTGTATTCTCATTCTCTAAAAATATAGCTTGAATAGATTAATGAGATGGAAAGACGCTATTAAGAGGAGTTCACGATTATCTCGGCCTGTTTACGTGACATTTTGTTAAAGTTATACGTTTCAATCAAACGGATGTCGTATAAATAACTGTTCAATTTTGCAATGCATTTTTTTTTTCTACTAGAAAATTTTCAATAAGCTTATTCAATGCTCCACACAACCGTGTGTTTAACATTTTAAAGATTTTTTTAAAGAAAAAAATTTTCATAAAAGAGAAGAAGACATTTTAAATACAAAAATATGTAAACTTTCTCAGTACGTCGTCAAAAAAGCGAAAAAAATAGGCATTCTAGTTTTCACTAGGCATGCACCGGTTTTTAACTGGTGTTGGAGCATCCGGGAGAATTGCTACAAATCAGTTATTACGATTCTGTCAGAGCTGTAAGACATCTAATTTTGTAGAAAAATGTTTGCTCTACAAAATGCATTTGTTCAAAGAATTTCAGAATCATTTCTAAGAAAACTCGGAGTATTCAAAAATACATTAAATCACGGAAAAAAACTGTTCGAACAGTTTTTTTTCGTAATTTAGTACATTTTAGAATGCTCTAAGTTTTCTTAGAAATGATTCTGAAATTCTTTGAACAAATGCATTTTGTAGAGCAAACATTTTTCTACAAAATCAGATGTTTTACAGCTCTGACAGAATCGTAATAACTGATTTGTAGCAATTCTCCCGGATGCTCCAACACCAGTTAAAAACTGGTGCATGCCTAGTTTTCACATGAAACGAAACGGTATGAAATTTAAATTATATCAAAAAACTTTCTTGTCTTCTAGGGACATTTATGAGTTTATTGAAACATCTTTTCATCTCAAACAAGTGAGATTGATAGAGCAAAAAATTAGCTATCACTCAGCGATATTTTCTTACTTTAACGCTTTTATCTTTATACAACTATCTGAAGAGAAATTATTAGTAAGAGACGTAGAAAAAAATACATTGCAAAAGTGAACCGTTATCATTCATTATTTTCATAAATAACTCTGTTTAACTATAGACGATCAAACAAACGCAAATATTCATCAACACCATCAGCAAACTCAACTTCAACAACCACCTGTTTCTATTATATTTCATGTAGCATCAAATGACGATATTCAAACAAATCTCGAAACAACCATACAAACTGTGTATTCAGCTGGTACATTAAGTAGGTTTATCGAAACTTATTAATTCGAATGAAAAGGATTATGAAAGTTGACAAGAAAACTTTGAAATAATATTCGTTTACTAGTGAGGAAATTTTTATTATTTCATACAAAATCAAGTCTATCGATTCAAAAAATAGTAGAACTTTACATTTTTCTTTGTTAATTCAAAAATTAGCATTTCAATAGCATATATTCCTCATGAAAATATCTTTGCATAGCTTAGAAGCTCAAGTCTTCTAACTCTAGTTGCTCACAATTTTTAATGCCCATAAAGTGGGATAAATATAAGCAATCAAACTCTAATGATTTTGAGTATAAAAGGCAATCTTCTTGTTCCTTCAACGTAGATGATGGATAAACAAATACTACTGAATGATCATAATCATAAAATACCAAAACGTCATAAAAACCTTAAAAATTTCTCTATTAAATTAATTCACAATATATACAACGATATTTCCTGTAATCTTTGACAAAAAAATGAACTGCCTTAGAATGAAAAACATACCTAACATATTATTTCAATAATTTTTAGCAAATTTAACTATTCAAGAATCTCAATTGAAAAGAACTGATATATTTCGATCAGAATCAACTAAATTATATGAAACAAAAGAAAATTATGTTGAAGAGAAGAAACATCAACATCTCTCAAATTTATCATCTTCATCCACGATATTCAACAAAAAAAATCATAATATTGTTTTTACCAGATGTATGTGCTGCAATACTTGTCCGTTAATGATGATTAAAAATTCAACAAATAATGAAGCAATTAATCAACCCCTTAAAACATTACACTTTCAACAAATTGATAAAACAATCTATATCGGTAAGTGTTCCATGTAAGTATGTATTTCGACTTTTAAAGTTTAAAATTATTCTGCCTTCTTCTAGGCCGTTATGAAAGGAGTACAAATAAAAAAACGTCGGAGTTTGTCGATCAGATTTATAAATATTTAGAAAATAAGTATTCAAAAGTGAAACGAGACGACTCAATCGTACAAAATATAAGCATGACATCGTCTCTCGATCCATTATCAACAAAAATATTATCGAAATTTACAAATTTCAATCGTTCAAAAACGTCTATATCTAGTGATACAATATCATTGACATCAAATAATAAATCAATAGAGAGGTTACAAGAAAATTATCGTCATTATCTAAAGTACCATCAATCATTAAATAGACCACAGCACATTCAATTTCAAACAGGTGACGCCTATATTCGATGCCCAAAACATCAACAACAAGTTCATGTAAAACTATTACCAAAAGAAAATAATAAGGATAATTCATTATTTTATCTTGTTCATTCAATACCGTTGACCGTGAAATCAATAAATACATTATCATCAGTAATATCGATCGATTCATCGTCAAAAATCTCGTCCAACTTGAAAAATTATACGAAAAAACATTTCTGCTCCAGAATATCGACAAACGTTTCGTTATTGGATATATCTGACTGTTTTCATACTGATTAATTATCTGTTGAATTTTTTTTGTATATGTACGTCTTTCATATACTCATTTTCGTTAATATATATCGATTTAAGTGATCATAGGTTAGTTGGACATAAAAACTCCGTTATCAGAAAATTTATTTGTCACTACAGATAAATACATAAACCAACAAACGGGAAAGAGACTGTTAAAAATGTTAAAGTTTTTATCATTCATTTATTTGTATAATTTATCTCTAATTATATAGCATTGGGTCAGTATCCGTCCTCATTTGGGTAAAGTTACACAAAAAACTTTTGACTTAATCAAAAATATTTTAAGAAATTTAAGCTGAGAGACGGCCTTTTATAGCGCAGAGTAAGTAATATTTTAAACTTCTAAGTAACTCGTTTTTTTTCCATCGCTTTTCATTATAACGAGTAATGCAGAGAAAACTGTAATGATTTTTTCTTAAAAACTTAAATTTGTTCAAAAATTTTCGCTGTGATATCAAAAGAAAGATGTGGCAATTTTATTCTTGTGTTCTTTTCAGAATAAGCAAGCATTTGCAGAGATGTGCGCCGATAAAAAATATTTGGTGGCGACGTTTACGGCGCCTAACTCCATAATTTTTTTTGTGCCTTCGGCGGCGGCGCAAACTTGTCCACTTGCCCGCACCGAGCGGCGTGAGGGTGAAAAACTTTGAAATCAACGGCGAAAATTTGTTTTCTTCACAGAGCTACTATTTTCTATAAAAAGAATTAACTCAGGCAAAAAATGCTACTTGCCACTGTCTTTTTAGGCACTAAATACAAAAGTTTCATCATATGAGAAAAGACAATAGACATTCTGTTAATGGGAGAGAAAGTAAAAAATGTTCCCTAGACCTTTATCAGTATGGAATATTGTTATCAACTGAATTTTATCTGCTTTATTGGATCTTAATCGTACACACCTTACGTTGAATAAAGTCTCATTGTGCTGAATACATTTACAGAAGGCGCTGATGTGGGCTAGACTGTCACTACTTCCACTGCTCTGCTTCAGTTGTCATGATCTGCCCAGCCATCTGTCGTAGTTTACATGGAAAAAGAGTTGAACTAGGTTAAGGTATGCATCGCTAAGCCAAAACCACTTAATCTTTTGTCAATCGGCCACGATTGTGAAAACAACGGAAAAGATGAATGTGGCACTCCGCAAACACAGGCATTTTTTCAATCCTAACAAATGCTAATTATTGCAGTTGGCGGCGGCTGCATACAAAAAAGGTTTTTTCGGCGGTGGCCTCTGGAAAGAAAAAGACATTTTTTCGAGTTTAAAGTTCTACATCTTTTGACATACAAAAAAAAATCCTAGCCTCACTTCAATAAAAGAATCGTCACATTGATTCGAGGTGTCTCTTCTAATATTTCGGTTTTTATGAACAGACACAAACATGTAAGAACAAATACATTAGTAGATCGAAAAAATTCTCTATCACTATTTACCACATTTTCCAACTAACTAAATTTAACCAGTTAAAAATGAGTTTGAAAGTTTCGTAACTTTGTGTTTGGGTAATTCAACTTCTTGCACCTTTCAGTGCTTTTATTACTAGAAAAAATTGAGGTCAATGCTTATTCTGAAAAGAATACAGGAATAAAATCTGTATAATTTTTTTTTTCTACTGGTATCACTGCGATAATTATCGAATACTTTTAATTTGAGTAGTGGTAAGCTCATCTTCAATCACCAATTAGCTTAAAACATGGAATGATTCAGAAAAAAATTTTAGCTACTCAGTAGACTTTCCATCTTCATATACAAAAATATTTATATTGAGAAACGTTGATATTGTTGATTATATAAATACTTACGCCTTTCCACACTGATTTGGATTTTGGCAGTGATGCTAATAAATGTTCAAGTAAAAATTGTGACCGTTTTTCATTAATAAATTGTTTTAATATATCAGTTTTTCTTGAACATAATTGTTCTAATATTCTATAACATTTCTTTATTATTCCACGATGTTGTTTTTGATCATTTTGAGATGTCTGAAAAATAAAACGAAAAAATTTGGTCAAGTACAAGTAGAATAATAATAAAAAATTTATATACTATAAGAATTTGTTTTAATTTTTCTTCTAATAATTGTAATTGTTCAGTATCAATGTACGGTACTAATACAAAAATAATATCTAATAAATATGTCCTGAAATAAGAGTACTATTTTATATCAATTTGAAAGATTAATTTATCTTCTACATACAACGTTGATTGCTCGATATCATTACCATTATATTTTTCCATACATCGTTGAAAAAATGTTTGACACAATGTCTGATTGGTTATTGTTAAATAACGTTTAAGTGTTTCAAATAAACTTTGTCGAACTGGATCACGAGATAATTTCCATTTTTCACTTGTATAAATATTAAACAATAATGGTAAATAATTTTTTGCATATTTTCCAACTTCAATTTGATCATTTTCTACAAAAAGAAAAAAAAAAGATGAAAAAGAAAATGAGTGATGATGAAAAGAGCAATAGAAAACGTACCATTATCACATTTCGATATCAAATTTCTTAATCCAGCTAGCAAATATAGACGAATATCTGGTCGATTTGTTAACGATGTTCCAATGCCTTTTGCTATAGCTTTTAAACTAATTAATATATCAGTTGCATGATTACAATAAGCTGGAAATAAGGACCAAATCTAAAACAAATAAACATTCATAAGAGATTTCGATCTTAAATTTTGTGAATTAACGAATCAAAACATATGGACTATTTTTCTTACTAATATGTTATTTTGTCTTTTGAAAAAGATAAAAACTACAAAATAGTTATACGGAATAATAATTATTTATTTTCAATGTTTTTCAACATTTCAATATAATTTTAACATGTTAAAATTAAGACTAACAGTACATCGACAAATGTAACATGTTTTTTCTTTTTGTTGATGAATGATGTATTTTTAGATTTGAATACGAATAAAAACATGTTAATTTTAACATGTTTTAACATGTTTAATCCAAATAGAAATTTCTACCAAGTAGCTTAATAAAATCATAATCGAAATAGCCCTAGTAAGTTTTTTTTATAAAGAATACAAACAGGAAGTCTAGATTATATTAGCAAAAGGTAAAATCTAAATCACTATGCACGGTTTTAGCTATCTGTATATATCTTTGAGCTATACTTATCAGTAACTTACTTCTTTCTTATCTTGTTAAGAGGATGTTGAGCTGTGAGTCAGTATTATCGCAATATATTATTAGATGACCTATTGCAAATTCGATCTGTTTTTTCAAAGATTCTCTCAATAGCTCACCTTTAATAAGAGTTTCTAAACTTTTTTTGTAAAAGATGTTCCTCACTCTCTTTTACTGATTACTGACAACCTGTAGATTACATATTATTTTGAAATGAATAGTTGTTAAGTATAATAGTAGTTCTCTTAAACAGCTAAACATTTCAAACTGAAATATTTCATAATCCACAAAACTGATATACATATTCTCTGAAAATATGATGAAGATTAGATGATATAGAAAAAAAAGCGTCCTGAAAAATGGGAAGCCTCTTTAATTGTAATGAATAATTTAATCTAACAGAAAATAATAAACTCGAACATGCATTTAGTAACAGTACGCACTACAAGAAAAGCTCTTCAATAGATATTATGCCATGTTTCGTTGTCTAGATATTCGAGATGCAACAGATCGAAATTGGCTTCAGATTCAGATCCCTTTTCAAGATGGCAATTGAGGTTCGTTTTGTTACATCGGAAATATCTCTACAACGAAACGTAGCATAGCGCTTATCAAAAATACGTTTTTGCATTACACGACGGACTGTGTTGAAGTTGCTTCAAATTAAAATTTATGCTTAAAAAGATGACAAATTCTGATATTTATTAGATGAATATCGTTAGAGGACCTGATGAGTCCGCCTCCTGCGGAATCTATACCTCCATATTTAGTCGACGCTCTCACAAATATATGTAATTTACCTGATCTTGTAGAGTGTTTAATAATGTACTTTTTGTATTGTCACCCTTTACTTTGAGTGCCTCCGCTATAAAAAGACAATAAGCAATGTAAGAATGTATGCTAGAAGACAATATGACAAAAAAACTCACCGGATGCTTTTAATTTGAATGCAAAAGGAAGAAAATAGTTAACAAAATGGGATAATTCTGTACGAACAATATTATCACGTAACAAAGGCAAAAGCCAACTTTGCTCCAGTTTAGTATCAGCACTAGAAAAAAAAATAACAGAGAGTATTTTATTATCAAGAGATATAAGTTGTATTTATACATACTCTGTACCAGTTAAGTTTAATGGTATAACATCGAGAATTAATTTTGGACCAAATATTCGAATAGATCGTCCAACTGTCGCATCTAATTCAGACATAAATGAAAAATCATCGGTCGAACGTAAACCAGCCAAGGATGCAAGACACTAAATAAACAATCAATAGCAAATAGTAAACTCAATCGAGACATGGAATAGAAAAATGTTCATATTAAAATGTTCTATTATAAATGATAATATCTTAGATAGAGTATATCGTTCACTTACATTTTTACATAAATTAAACTGTTCTTTGCCAATTATATCAAACATATCTTTGAGCAAATGCAACACAAAATTCCAGACACTACTATAAGAATATGTTAAACCTTGTTCGATAATGACGAATAATTTTGATAATAATGAGTTTGAACCTAATCGTTTGTATTCATCATGGATCAATTCACATTGTGGTTTTAAAACAAGTTTCATCATTGACTTGAAAAAACATAAGAATAAAAATAAGTAAACTAAATAAAGTACAATAATTACCATTAGAACATTTGTTGATGCAACATACACTTGTTTGTGAGAAGACAATAAACAATTCATACAAATAGTAAATAATTTTGGAAGATGTGATAATGTTAAATTTTGATCAAAACTTGAGAGAGAAAAGGTAGAGACAAGTTAGTGATGTTTGAAAAAGAAATGATGTGTAGACTCACCGATTTAAATGAATATATGCTTGTTCAATTACTGATAACCAAAGCACTATTTGTTGTTGATCATTTTCACCAGGTTGATATTCAAAGAGTGCCTGAAGAGAAGAATACATTCATTTTGCAATGGTAATAACACATATTCGAATGACAGAAAAGCTCTATCTTCACTGTCAATCAAATATGTGCATGTTTTGAGATATGAAGATACCAATAACCTGATAGTCAACATATTGAGCGAAAAATTAGGTGATTTATTCAAAGTTAACAAAAATACTAAACTCTGCTACACATTGTAAATCTGAACGTTCATCTGTTGGAGAGATTTGACAGTCGAAAACATTTGTGTTTATTACTCATCTAACTATAATTTCATTCGAATATCAAAAATATACATTGGACTCTATAAAATGACTTGGCAATACTAGGACAACAGGATTTTTAGAACTTTCAGAATTTTACAGTAGCAAAAAGAAATAAATGAATAAGTGAAGTTATGATATTATATAGCCTTGTAGTCCTAAAATCTACAATTTTTCCTTTCCTCTAAGATATGTTGTGAACAGGAATGTTACGAGTCTATTTTATATCTTTTTTAAACTTTGTAGCAAATCTCTGAAATCTGGCAAAGTGGATCTTTCGAGTTACTAGAAATACACAGCACATATTTCTCTACAAAATAAGGTATTAGTGAGCTATGTGAGATTTTTGCTTGTAATTCTGTATTTATTCAGCAACAACCTCCTGACCGAGTTCTAGATTAGATGAAGAAACTATTAGAGCAAATGCCGAATGTGAATAAAAGAACGCTCAGAGCTCAGCAATCTCTCATTTAATAGAAAAATATTTACACTCAGATACATTCAAAAATCATTTTGTCTCTTCCCTGTTTCAAATTGTGCACTCTTTCCTAAAGATCGAAAAACTCAAGCATAGACTCGTAATATCCCTATTTACAAAAAGTCAAAAACATTAATTCGAGAATATTGTTAATAAACTTACAGCAATAATTTGACTATTCATATCCGGTGTAATCGTAGTTTTCTTCGGACAATCAGAAAATAAATTATGAAATACATTCATACACGTGGATGATATTGACTAATAAAAGTGAAGACGATGATGTCTAAAGTACTTTTTAGATATTGTATATACTTACAACATTTTTCAATGTCATTAAACGTAATAAACATTCACAGATAGATTTTACGGATGTTTTTGGCAATACACTAATGATAGATTTCAATAAATTTAATACATACAATGTATTTTGTAAATCACCAATTCCTAAATGATAGAATGTTTACTTAATTGATAAAAATAAGGATAGTAAAGGAAAAATTCAAACCTCCTTTCTCTTCAATTGTTTGTAAACAATATTTTCCTGTGATAACGGCCATTGGATGTGGATCATCCGATGTTAAACAGATATCGGACGCACATAAGACAATTGAAACGGCTTTATGACATGCTTTTCGTACCTTCAAAAATGAAAAATAATATATAAAATAGAAGACAAAATATTTCTTTATACTTTTGCATTTGGATGTATTATATAAATCAATAATGTATTAAAAAATGTTTGATTCGATATTTCATTCCATACATAACGATCTTGTAATTTGCATACCCAAGATAATGAAAATAATGCCTAAAGATAAACGAATAAAACAATTTTACAACTTGTAGATAAAATGGTAGTGATAACAAATATATAAGCACTGGTTTGAATTATTTCTTTTACACATGGATAAAGAATATCAAAATTAGACATACACCAGTACATTTTATCCTTTTTCTCAATCCGATTGATTATGAAGTACAATATGCTAAAGTGAATTGACGACTTAATTTTGTAGAGCAAATATTTTAGGCCTGGCGGAGTTATCTTTTTCCTTTTTGCCGCAATCGTTTCTTAAAAAAAGAGCCATAAACCAGTATTAATCGACAGCGGTCGTGGAATGTTTAGTAAATATCTTTTATCGAACTACTGAATCAAGCAGAAAAGTACTGTCAACTGTCATATCATGTTTTTTCTACAAAATCTTGTAGTTAAACAAATTCTAGATTATTTTTTATTACAAAATACTGTTTGTGAAAAAAAATATAGAATTGCAATAGATAAATATCGATGTATGTCTGATTACAAGTACTCATCATCAAAACAAAAGCTGGATAACGAAAACATTAAATGTTATAAACAACAGCATGTATCGAACGTACCGATCTTAAAAGTGTTGTTTGAGATGAGCTAATATATTGCTGGAGAATTGTTGAAAATGCGTTGGCTATTTCAGAGAATTTTGCTTGTAAAATATTTTTATTTATCCTAAAGCAAATGTTAAATATACACATTGTTCAAGATAGATTTAGACATTGCCTACCGTCGTATGACCATTGAAATGAGATAAAGGACAGCACTTAAGGATTCTTCACTTTCTACAGTTTGTAATGTGGTCATCTTAAATATACAGAGATAATAGATTAATTAAGTGTACGTAGAAACATATACATACAAATGCTGCAAAATATTCCAGTTCCGATTCTTGTCCAGTTTTGTCACGAATAACTTCTGTTACAGCGGCTAAAACAGCAAGCGTCTAAACAGAGCCAATAAAGAAAAAATTATCAAACAGCAATAATATAAGAGATATGTAATCATACTTCTTTATACAAAGATGAATTCATATTCCAATATCGATATAATTTATTGAATGTTACATTTGTACAATCTGTCCATCTTGTTGCCCATGAATGAAAGGTTGATTGAGACGTTGCATCAGAATCAAATAAATTCGATTCAATAAGTTCATCTAATGCACCTTTCGTTAAATGATCTAAAAAATATATAAAAAAATGAATTAAAGAATATCATTAACAAATGTCTAGAGCCTACCTGTTGAATTTTGACCATGACCAAGTAACTGATTTTTGACATTATCACGATGTTTCTTAGTTGTCGGATTTGAACTACTCGCACCATGTTTTTTCCATTTTAAACCTTTCGATCGATTGAGTCGAATTTTCATTCTGCTTCGTATTCAAATCTAAAAATACATCATTCATCAACAAAAAGAAAAAACATGTTACATTTGTCGATGTACTGTTAGTCTACCACCACTTTCATGTATCAGTTTATTTATAGAAAAAGCAGTGACAGAGTGAAAATAAATTGTAGAAAAATATAAAATGAATATGAAAAGAAAACAAACATATTCCTAATGTCTAAGAAAAACTAACGAAAGTCATTGACATTGAGAAATGAGAAACGGGCATGGAAAGTTAAATCAAATGGATTCTATTAAGTTATTAGAGAAATATAACTCAATGTTTACTAATACCATAGATCATTAGACCAAATCCAACACAACTTCCTACTGTACGAACCAAGTGTAAATATGCCCATTTTTCTAATAAGGCTTTTTTTTCTGATATTGACGATACAATTCGTTGTTTGTCTTTACCCATAATTTGATTGTTGACTGGTGCGACAATCATGACAGTGTATGGCAGCATTCCAACGAAAATACAGCTAGAGGTAAGCCACAGATTTCTGTTGGCCAATGGACTATTATAAGCATGTGCAAGACCTGATAAACCTGATACCATAGCAAATATAGCTTGTCCTGTTGCAGCTTGACGATACATAATTGGAAAATATTGCCAATATGTTTCAATGCCGAAACGGGACATACCTACAGACTCTCCATACGTTATATATAATGCAGCACCAGCAAACAAGCCACCAGCTCCTGCTGCAATTAGACCAAGATTATCAGTTATTACACTCATGTTGATAGACATATTAAAATGAAAAGTAACCAATCTACAACAAAGAAAACTAATGAAAGAAATCATACCGTCCGTAACATATTCAATATTGTCCAGGGAAGTACGGAAAATTTTCTTTGCTTTCTGCTCAGTCAATTTTTGTTTCTAATGTGTTGGTTGATCAATAAAACCAGAAGAATATTACACCATTTTCTTTAATCTCATAAAAATATTTTTTCACAAAATCTACAAAAAAAATATTTGAGACGATGGCGATGACTAAATCTAATCCTATTCTATGGATGTCGACGAACATGATGGATGATGAAATCGACTATTAGTAATAAAAATGTTCAGGTCTAGGAACTGTCTATACAATCTGAGTTAATTAATATAGGTACCTTATCTAGTTCATGTGTAGGATGGAATCGTCCTAACACGCATTTACACACAATTTGAACGTGAGTCTCGAAATGCTATATATGAGAGTTGTGAAAAGTCGATAAAAGAAAATGATCGAAAATCGATATCCTGCATAAAATGAACATAAGAAAAAACTTAGCTGCTCTTGGTCTGTTATGTACTAATTATCGAATTTTGTTATGCATCGTTACCTCTAGAGTCTTCTAATCAGCGTTTCTAACAGCAAAGCGTACCCACTGTATCAAAGCGTACGTACGCTTCGGACTTTAAAAATACGCTCTGTTTTACGCTTTGCTGAAAAAAGCAGAGCGTACACTGTACGCTTTGCTATCGCTGTTTACGCTTTGTTTTCTAATAGAACTTTTTTTCTCCTATAATTCCTGATGCCTAATTGATGCTTTCTTTTTTAGATTTGAAACGTGTACGCTTTGCGAAAAAAAACAGAGCGTACACATACGCTTTGGTTAGTAAAACAGAGCGTACTTGTACGCTCAGCGGATAAATCCTATTAGAAACACTGCTTCTAATGCTGATTTAGTCTTGGATTTTTTATCGAAAGATTTTCTCTCTATCAATCGGACGTTTTACGAGTTTCTAATGTTTCGGCTAACATCACAAAAGGCAGAATACACGAAGTGTTTCTTATGTATTCTACAAACGAGCTATGTACATTTTATTATATTAGATATATCTCATTGGTAGAAAAATTGTCAATGGCGATGATAAAAAGTTTACAGAAACTTTGACTAGATTAACCAGTATACAAAAAGAAAAAATGTGTAAAATACAAAGTGATTTTTGAATTGAATTGATTTATTTCGGCTTAGATGCTGAAAGTCAAAATAACAGAGAACAAGCGAAAGATTAGCTCACTGCTAATCTATATCGAATATAAATTTTTAAGAGAGAATAGAAAAGAATGTCGTTATACTTTCTCATAAGAATAAGCTCGGACTAAACTCAGTCCTTGCATTTAGTCCTAGCGTATCTTAAATAAGAAATCACTGAAGCTCAGCTACAGTAATGACTTTCAGGTGCTACTTTTGCAGCTTAAAGGAAACAATGAAGAGCGTATATAATTCGCTAGGTAGAATTTTTTATTAGCTCTTTTTTTCAACTAATAAGAATATCTTACAAATTTCCTCAAGTAAACCACAGTTTCGGCATTTTAGAGGTGTCAGTGACAGTACATAAAGAGTAGATTGAATTTGGCATGAATGTATTGGTAATAGCACCGGAGCTGCTTCGTCTCTTTTCAATTTGCAAACATACAGTCTTTATACTTTCAATCGTTTTTTGAAAATCAAGAAAATGCCTTCAGTGCAGTAAGTAAGACTAAGACTATTTTATTCACGAAAAGTGAGAGTCATCAAAGGTCATTGACCTGTAATAACAATCACTCAAGCCAAACAACACGAAACAGCAATAAAAAAGAACAAAAGTAAGTAGCCTGGCCTCGGCTTTTCAGTCAAATATCAAAGCATATGGCTTCGTTTCCACTGCAAATTTTTCAGAGTTAACTCCGAGTTAATTTTGAGAGAGTTTACATTACAAATCTTTAAGAGACCACTAAGATTTAGACATTTCCACCTTAATTATGTCACTTGTCAATTTCAATACTATCGAAAGTTGTGGTTGCTACAGCCTTATCCTGTGCCTGTTCTATAGTTACCTTTCCAAGCTCATGCATTGATGATTTCTCTTTTAAATGTACCGCGACAGTGGATGACATTTTATATTATTAAAGCAGACTGTTTGCTATCGACATCTCTCATCAGACTACAAAAAAAGGTTTGCTTAGCTTTTTTTCTCTCTGTATGTACTAGATATTTCCGATCATCTTTGAATATTTTCGTTCTCATGTCATATTTAAAAAGGATTTTCCGTTTTTCTCGTGTATGATTGGCTTATCCATGGATTATCTGACAGTCATTTTTTGCACACAGACACAGACAGACGGACAACCATTTTGTGAGATCCTAGACTAAAGTCAAGGGAAAATTTCAAGGGAATAAATTACCCGATCTGATTGGTTAAGTTGCCATCTTCACCAATCAGGGGCCTGTTTCTTAAAAAAACTTAAGTAGAAAATCTTACTTAAGTCAAAAAAGACAAAGACTTTTTTGGACTTAAGTTTGACTTAAGTAAGATTTTCTACTCAAGTTTTTTTAAGAAACAGGCCCCAGATCGGATAATTTATCTTTTTATCTTAGTCGTTTCAAAATGAAAAAGTCTCCCAACCCTGAAATCGTGAGTTTTTCATTTTGAAACGACCGCGAACGCTTTTTAGTTTTTTGGCCTGAAAACCCGTTAGAAAACTCTTTTGGGTTTTTTGATCAGTTTTTTTTTAGTTCAAAAAACTCTTTTATTGTAGTTTATTAATCTACGACATTTTTTTAGAGTATAGACTAAAGTGGAGGAAATATACACACTCTTCATTAGGGATGTGTTTAATCTGTAGAAGCACTGTATTCTTCATTTTCTGAATAAAAATCTGCTTTTTCAAAAGTGGAAGGCCATTTTACTTTCACAGAAACTGCTGATTCAATGACCTATTCTTGCCACCAATAAATCTTGTCTTTTTTGTTCAGCACCATTATGTATAATATGTTGTATTTGTTTCAGGTATCTAGTTGAAAGGATAGTGATCATGGCGTATGTTAACACGTATGTTAGCACGAATTTTTCGTTCAAAACGAGTTGCACGATAGCTTTTCTATTTCTCTAGTTACATGGTAGTCAACCTAGTTAAAATTCGTTGGAGCAACAACGAACAATCAGCACATAAAGATGCTATTATACAAATTATACAGTCAGAAAAGATGGGTCCGGAGTGTTTTCGTGTTATGGAAAAAAAAGATGTAAGGAACCTAGACTTTTTTTTTTCTTTGATCAGAAGCTGCCGTATTTTATCGGTTTATTCTCTTCTAGGATGTTTTAATCCAACCTTTGAAGGATTGCTTTTGGTTAGAGGATTCATCACATGACGGTGTTGCTTCTATTGAAACACCGATAGGTATTGTTGTTATTTTTTATGATCCGACGAAGAAAGCTCAACCTGAATTCATTAGAACGATCTATGATAAACTTGGTACAAAGTCAATTGTGATAAGTATGTTCTACGATATATTTGTTTCTTTGGTAACTAAGACGCTTCTCATGTAATTTTGCATAACTACTAATAATGTAGTCAGATGAATCTTAACGTTCGAGTAGTAGTTAGAATTAAAGTACATTATCTATTTCAATGTTAATTATCAAGTGAATATTTTTAAACTGAAACCCATTATTTAAAAAAAAACCATTAAATCGATTGAACAAATATACAACACATGGCTAGGAACCATGAATTTACTTCATTAGTTTACTGTAAAATGAAGTTGATGTGTTCGAGTAAACATTATGGACAAAGTTATGTGGATGTATTTCTCCCGAATGATCTCGCCAAGCGTTCTTAAGGGTGTGTACGTACATAGAATATATATAGAGAGATGGATCTGTATTTTTATATATGTATATTCATTAGCTATATTATAGCTTATGCTTGTAATGTAGGACTTGTAATGTAGGATACTAGGTTTTTAGTTTCTTCAGGTATTGACGTATATTAAACAAACGTGTATAAACGAACATATGTATGAGATAAAAAGATGCTAGTGCACATGATAGCCGATTTTTGTCGCTTAGTAAGATGTTATAGAAAAATATCACGAATATTATTTTTACACATCAGTAGCCTCTAAAGTTTCTGTTATCTTCCTGAAACTACCGTATCGGATCTGGTTTCGACGCTTACTCAGCTAGCTCCCTCCTCCTTTCATCTACTCTTCTATCAACCGACTGATTTCTTATTTTTAACCACAGATCATGAGAAGGCGTTCTCAGCGACGAAATATTAGCGTTTATTAAATATTTTTATCATACAAGCACGTAAATAAGACGATATATCAGGATAGCCTTACAAAATCAATAAATCTAATACAACATAAACTTATTAACTATATAATATATCTTTTTGCTAAACGTAATAGTTATGCGAGTAGGTTTTGTTACGAGGCGGAAACGATCGTTAGGGGTCGATATAATGGTCTCAGCTAACTTTTATTTTATTTTAGACGCATCAGCTTTAGATGAAAACAATCAGTCATCGCGATCCACAGAACCTAGGAGGACAGCTAGCCTAACACCCCGATCTCAGGGATCACCAACTCCACACAATTTTTCTAATCAGAGTAAGTTATATTAAAAAGAACAATCATCATAGTTACATATTTCAAGATTTTTGTTTTTTAAGTCGAAGTGCAGGAAGCAATTAAAAAATTGTCTGAAGCAATTGAAGAAAAGCATATGAATCAAGTTGAACCATTGGCAAAGCAGCTAGCTTTTAATAAAGTTACCGTTAATTTTAATATTGCTCCGCATGTAACACAAATTGAACAACAGAACGATGTACCGAACTATTTAAAGTTTGTCCTTAGTTGTTTGTCAGTCAATCTCGCGAATTCACATTATATTTGTTTTAGACTAAAACTAGTCATTGAAAGTAGCAGTTCCCGTCCAATTGATCATGAAATAGTTATACCATATAAAACAACTTTGCAACAATTAATACAAACGGTAAAACCTTACATTTGATACAAGAACTTTTGAGGACTGCATAAAATTTGAAAAGTTGCCAGAGGGTTGATACACGATCATACCTTTTATTTATCTTGTTGCACTCACATGAATTAATGTCTAGCTATAAGATCACTTACTCTAATGATATAGTCAGATTTTTGTTGTGTGGTATTCTTGTGATCAGATTTAGACAGACTACTAATATGTTCCTGTTCGCCTCTTATGCTAAAATACAGAAAATTGTTCAAAAAAACTCAAATATGCGTTATTCATCTTCAATTTGTGTATTTTTAGATTTCTACTGACTGCTCTATTGCAAAAGAAAGTCAATTTTGGTATTTTAAAAATACTTTACTCAAACCTACCTATACATTTAGTCCAGAGTCAAAACCATCTATTGTCAATGATGACACACTTATTTTGTATATTGCAAAATTTAGAAAACCTGATTGATGGTAAAGTATTCTTTCCTTTTCTATGATTTTAATTCAGTTTTTTGTAACTGTAGAATAAATTTTGAAAAGGATTATTCGTTTGTTTTAAACTTTATTTTTGTTATGTACACGAAGAAAAAGGTTATTTATATTTTTTACTTTTGTATATTGGAAAATTTTTATTTGTGCTACTGTTTTTTTTCTATCATTATTAAAACAAGAATGGTTATTTTTTTACATTTATCTATCTTTAGAACTGATCTTTTCTTTTGATCTAACATACGAGCATCAATCATGTCTTCAATATGTCTTTATTCTTCTGAACTAATACATTTTAACTAGAGATTTTGAGATATTTTAAAATACGAAGAGAAATTATCAAATGTTGAACTTTCTCATCAAAGATATTTTAGTTTTGTAGATGGAGATGATTTAGTGAATGTAAGTTTTACTTTAAACTAATTATATATTCTGTGATTCTCAGCAGAGTCAGTTTTCACTAAAATTTGAGCGAACAATGGTATTGTAATAATACATTATAACAACAGGACTCCATCAGATACAATTATAAAAATTATAAAAATACAAATTTTTAATATTCTGCTGAAGTCTATTGTTTAATTGTATTAGATAATATTGAAAATGATTTGGATAATTTTAAAATTAGATAAAATGATCATCTTTTATTCTTTAAATGTGTTAATTATCGCCACAATTGTGTATTTTTATTATGTTCGTTCGTCTGATGCATGGAAAAAATTAACAGATATACCAAAACTATAGAAAATAGAAAATAAATCGTTCACTGATTTATTATTATTTTCTATTTTTATTAAACAAAATTAAACAATAATGTCTATCGTTTTTTTTTCTTTTTTCACTGTATAAGGTGTTCAACAACTAACTTTTGAGTTAAAATTCGAAATAATAGATTTTGATTGATTACACAGTCCGCAAAAATATACTTGAATTTTGTTAAATGTCGTATACCTATAGAAAACACCTTTCTTTTGGTTTATAATATCGAAGTAGTAATAATGAATATTTTTTCTTGTTTTTAAGATTGTTCTTCTTTTTTCTACAATGTAAATAAATAAAGCTTTTTTATTTATAGTTTGGTCTGTCCACATTGTCTGTAAACCAGCAATGAGATTTCTCCAAAATTGTTCTGAAAATTCTGACAAACCTATTTTTTTCGATCAAAATTGCTGAAGTTTTCAAACAGTTTCTCTGTTAATGATTATTTACTTTACTTTAATGCTCTTGTTTTCCTGACTAAAAATTTTAGCCAAATACGTTTAAACGAGAAATAAAAAATGTTTTTTTTCTCGGTTCATTTTTTAAAAATTAAAAAGACATCTTTTTTGTTTGAGACCCTACTAATTAAGAAATGTTTCCACTAGATAATTGTTGTTTCGTATTAAAATGCAGAAAGTAAGGAATTTTATTTACTTTTTTTTATCCAAAAAACTCATCAAAAAATACACTCCATTTCATGACAAATAATTTTCATTAGTTACTGTTTTTGTTTTTTGCTGTGTAGAATAACGCGAAGAAATGTAAAAGCAGTTCTGACAGGTGGTTCATGTTGTTGAAAAACGGTCATTTCGAGTAGCTTTTTTCTTTATACGTCATTCGTTTCATCTCGTATGAATCTTTTGCTGAACGATTATAATTTTGAATTAATCTGTCTAAATGATAAGGTACCAGATTTATGACAAAATAGAGTTTAGTCTCATCCTTTTCCTGGCTATTAGTTGTAATTAACGTATCACAGAGTTCACGACAAATCAGTATCATTCAAAAATAGTCTAATTCTATATGAACATGATGAATTCCATTTGATACTAAGTTATTTACTAATTATTTTTTCAAAGAACCAAGTATTTTTATCAACTTCTGAAAAGATAGACATCCAACATATCTTATCTAAAGATGTTTTACCTAGTAACAAATAAGCCAAAGTATTCTGAGATCACAAAAAAATACTCTTGAATGAATCAGTGCTTTCAAAAAATTTTCTAAGTTGTTGATGCTTTGTAATATATTTTGAAAATGTTGAAATCCTCTCCTCTCATAAAAAATTTTGTTAGAAAACTGAAAATTTTTGTATCTCACTCTTGAAGATGAATGAATATCATTCTTTAAACTTGACATGTGCATCATTGTACGTTTAACTACTTTCTGATAGAAGAGAAATGGTTTATATTGTGTTTTATATTCATATCGTGCATGAAGTTATCATGTTCAATATTTTTACTCCAAGGATATTCTTTGAAAAAGACAAATACTATCTATTCTTAAAATAAATTCAGTTTATACTAAGACTTTCTTCAACATCAATAACGTTAAAATCATCGAGAATATGTCAACATCTAGAACATTATTTTCATACAATATACAGTCTCCACGGGCAGATGTGGCGACCTCGTCAGGATATGAATATAACTCATTCATTTCCTTTTCTCACTTACAATTTTACAATCTAATGCTATATCTGGAAAAGGGAAAAACTTCATTTTTGTTTGAAGACGAGCTAGATTGAGCCTTTCATAATTGTCACATGTTGAAATTAATCATAAACCCAATAGGGAATAAAAGACAGTTTTGTATTCTTAAAAGAAAAGATATTCTACTTTTTTTCAACAATATATCAAAGTATCATTCTAAAATAGTTTATTCTGATAAGTACACTGAGGATTTACAAAACACAAAGTATTAACTATCTACAAAATTCATGGACAATAGAAATACTTTTTTAAACTCTAAAAAATTTCAGAAATCATTCATTTCTTTAGAATCATGAACAACAAATCAATTTTTAGATTCCATTTCTAGACTGAGCAATCTTCAGATTACTTCATAGATATGATATTATTTTTTTTTCTATTCATCTCTCACATTTAACGTGTTTCACGGTTATATTATAAAGAAACATAAAATTCTTTTTTTTTTTTCAACCGTTACGTATACCCATTTTATATTTTATGTCGATACGTTTTTTAATGGAATAAGGTCTGTTTGTCATTCATCGACGTTACAGCCTTGAATTAACGGCTTTGTAGAAGAAAAATTCTCAATGAAGCGAAACGTGTGGTTAAACTATTGTTATACTATCGATTATTTTTTTGTTGTAGTTTTTTTTCTAATCTTAAATAGCGATGAAGCGAGTCTGCTATTATTTTGTATAAACTTGTTTAAAATCTAGAAGCAGAAGAGTCATATATTATTTTTTGTCAGAAAGGATCAAATCATATTTACTTAAAATTCGCGAATATAATAATATAGAAAGAAGTTTCTAAAATATGTACATGATTAGCACGTTTAATATTATCTAATAATAAGTCAAAGGTTGTCATTTTATTATATATTCAGTAGCATGTATATTTATATGTCTACTTTTACATTTATGTATCACTAATCGTACAGGTAAACTTCGTCCCACTTGCGAAGCATGTCAATACAATAGTCTATTTTTTGACGTTTTTCTGTTCATCGGGACTATCTCCTGATGTTATCATTTTTAACGGCTCATTGAAGTACATACATTATTTTTTATGTATTGCATATTGTAGAAAAACAGCTTTTCTATCTAACTCAACAACAAGTAATAGCCAAACATGTTTTTTATTGATTATGGTGATGTTATTCGAGCATTAGCAATTATATCCTTTATCTATTTTGTAAAATATATCTTAACTGTTAAACGTGGTCTATATCATACACAAAATTTTCGTTTACAAGCCACAGAAAAATTAGCATCGCGTGATCTTAAACGTCAGACACTATTAGATATATTAAAAAATGATTTTGTTGTTCCATCAAAACAATTACATGATCAAATATATAATTTAACAGCTACACAACTTTTAGAAGGTTTTAAAGCAAATTCATTTACGTACAGTGATGTGATCCATTTATTTTCTTTACGTGCATTGACTATTGGAATTAAAACAAATGCGGTTACCGAAGAATTTTACGATGATGCTATTAAAAAAGCCAAAGAACTTGATAAAGAAAAAGATTTGGCGATGTACAAGAGTGACGATCAATTGTTATTATTAGGTGTTCCAATTAGTGTTAAAGATCAAATACACCAACAAGGAGCTGATAGTTCAATGGGTTTAACAGCAAGAAATTTTAGGCCATCACATCAGAATGGACTTGTATTAGAATTACTCATTGAACAAGGAGCCATTCCATTCGTACGAACAAATACGCTTCAAGCAATGATGTTACCCGAAACAGACAATTTAACATATGGACGTACTGTTAATCCGTGGGATTTTACTCGAACATGTGGTGGTTCATCCGGTGGTGAAGGTGCTCTATTAGGCGCTCGAGGTTCAGTATTAGGTATTGGAACGGATGTAGGAGGCTCAATTCGTATTCCGGCTCATTTTTGCGGTGTATATGGTTTTAAACCAACGCCAGGTCGAATTACGGATTTAGGTATTGGTATTCCTCGTCTAAAAGATGTAATAGGAGAAGGAAATATTCGTGCCACTGTTGGACCATTAGGACATTCAACAGATGATCTTGTTCTCGTTATGAAATCATTTTTGAAACCCAAAATGTGGCAGAAAGATAAAAGTTTAGTAAAGTTACCATGGAGGGATGAAACATACCGTGATCGTACAGAAAAACTTCGTATTGGTTATTATACAACAGATGATTGGTTTACAGCATCACCAGCTTGCGTTCGAGCCGTTCTTAACGCCGTAGACGCTCTCAGGCAATTAGGTCATACAGTTGTTGAATTTAAACCAAAAAATATGTCGACAGCTGTACGACTTTACACCTCTATTTTGGCTGCTGATGGAATAAAGCATTTTCTGGAAGCTTTAGAAGGCGAAAAATTGAATAATCTTTACACAAATTTATTTCTTGCATCTAGAATTCCCACTTTTTTACGTCCATTATTGTGTACAATATTGACCATAATTGGAGAATCTCGTGCTGCTTTGATTGTTAAAAGTGTTGGTGCTAGAAAGGCATACGATTATATTGAACTAATACGTGAGATGAAATTATTTGCGGATCATTGGATAACCGATATGGAAAATCACAATATTGATTTAATTATATCGCCCGCGAATGGTTTACCTGCGTATCACCATACATTATCGAAAGATTTGTTTGTTTCCTGTTCGTATACGCTAATTTATAATCTTTTAAATTTTCCAGCGGGTGTTGTACCGGTTACAGTTGTTAAAGATGATGAACAACGATATTCGGACGATTTTAATGATTCGTATACGAAGAAGGCAGCAAGCGTGTGTCAAAATTCAAAAGGTTGTCCTATCGGTGTTCAAGTAGCCGGTTTTCCATGGCAAGATGAAAAAGTATTAAGAATAATGAAAGAACTGGAAGATAAAATTCAATTCAAACAATTACCTAAATTAGCTCAAGATATTGATATTTATCACTAAACATCTCTATTCTCAATCAAAAATACATTTCAGATTTGATTTTGTCACTTTTTATTAGAAAGGATATGGCTCATTTTTTTGCCGCTTTTTCTTCTCAAGTTTTTAAAAATGTAGTAAAATTTATTAAAATTTGGAAAAATCTTTAAAGTAACATTATGTACACAGATGGAATATGGAGGGGAACTTTAAACTTGAAAAGGATATTGATAGAAAAATGGATGTTACGATACTATATATTTGAAAAATCGAATGATTTGTTGATGTTATCTTAGAAAAATAACAACAAGTAATTTATTCTATGATAAAATCACAGTATATCTGTCGATAAATTCAGGGTTTTTCAGTAAGAGTTGCGTATCATCAATTTGAATAAATGAGGGGTCAAATTTGATTCTAATATAGCTGTCGGTATAGTGATGTACAGAAACTCGATCAAAATTTTAATATCGAAATGGTATTAGATAGAAGTTCAAGTGTGTCATTTTAAAGTGTAAAGGAGTAGTATAAAGATATTTATTTTTATATTGTCAGATGATTAACCTCTAGAATTGACGGAAACTTGGTGACAGTCGGGAAACACAACACAATGTGAAACAGGGATCTAGCACGGTTCCCACAACTTAATGGATTTATTTCATTGTTCATGTACTCTTCAGCAGTCATTAGAGAGTAAACAAAAAAAACGTAGAGGAAAGAGGAGAATTACCCGACGAATCGAACTAAAATACCTTGTCAATGCAGCCTCTCGGGGCTAAAATGATGAAACTCTTTTACAAGTCTTTCACTTTTAATAAGTAAAGCACTGCTACGTTATATTAATATTGTACTATAGAGTGATGGTGCGGGACTTTTATCTGTTTTGAGGTAAATGATAATGGTAACTAGAGATTTTTTACTTTATTTCACATTTTTTTACTAGAAGATAAATATTTTTTCGTGATGCTCTTTGGGCTCAAGGTGAGATAATAATTTAATTTTAGTACTGATGAATACATACCTTTTTAAGATGAATACGACGCCAGCCTAAGATGAATACACCATACTTATAAGATGAACACTCCAGCCTTCTAAGATGAATACACCTGGGAGGAGAGAGGAGGAGGTAGAAAAATAAGTCAAAATCAAGGCTTTTGAGTATAAAACTTTAATTCCTTCTTCTTTGCAGACACTGAAGGAGTTTCACGAAAAGTAAACAAAACAGAAGACTGTGAGTTAACGAAAAATATATCTTGATATTTAAATTAAAGGTTTGTGCAGAACTCTTCACTTATGATTTTTTCGAAACCCATCTGGTAATATGTAAACGATCACGCTGATCACGAATATTCGTATTAAAAGTATCCGAAATGGTTACTATCACTTTTCACCAAAAACGTTTTTTTTGGTGAAAAGTGATAGTAATGGAAAGCACATAGGATATATGTCATTAGGCTCTATTTTTCACGCACATTCTGAATATGACCTTCGCGTTTGTCTGAAATGTTATTTTAGTGGCGAAATTTAGAAAATATCATCGAAAACCTGCTGAAAATCGTTGAAATCGCGTTGTCTGTCCCGTCGTACAAGTGTTTTCTGTTCTTTTTTTCTAATTTCATATTCGGATTCAGCATAAAATTTACATCTGAATCACTATCTATTTTAGTTTTTCGATGCTTCCTCGGTCAGGGGACCTTGGAATACCCTTTTTGGGAGAAAACGTTCAAAACGTCGTTTACATATTACTAGATGGGTTTAGAAAAAATTAAAAATTAAAAGTTCTCCAGAAATTCTGGAGGGGATCTCAGTCCTCAAAAATCTGACCGAGAGATTTCGCGAAACTAAATGTCTGGAAATGTTCCTGAGCATCCCCTGACATGGTTTCAATGCAAAAAAACGAAAATTTTGGGGACCAAGAAAGGGTCTTATCCGTCCTACTCCTTTTCAGACAAAAAGTCCTCAGTAACTGTTAATATTCTATTTACAATTGATCCATGTAAAATGAACAGAAACCAGTAGGAAAAATGATCAGAATGAATGAGTGTTTTCTAGGTTGAAATAGACGAGTAAAAGTCACTTTAATTTGACATACGAATGAAAAATTTGATATTTATGCTTCATCAAATGTAAAAAAAGTAATTAGTAAATATCGTTAGTAGTTCAGAGCAAGTGACAACTATGTGTAGTCACTGGGATTATAGTTTAGATTCAAACAGAAACTAAAATTGAATCTTAATTGCAGACTTACTATTATAGCATAGACATTTTGCAACATAATTATTTAGGGCATACCAAAAGTACGGGCAGTGACACTTTAATACTGTACATTAAGCTTCAAGAAATTTTCTCTCTATGCAGTCTGATAGAGAAAAGAATGCTCTATTTTTCTATGCTATTTGATCATACTTCAACTAATATAAGAGTAATAAAATTTTGATAAGATCTGTTTTGTTCGCATGTGTCACGGTTCCATGAATACTAGTGAGTATTTTTTGAATAACTTTTGTTAGAAACAAGATAGAGAGCTGCGGTGCTCACCGTTGGAAAGAGGAAATGAAGATGCGTCGAATCATATATTATAGGCTTTTCTAATATTGATTTCTGAAGTATTTTTGTTCAATTTTCTAAGTGTCGGAAAAATGTTTTTTTTTATGAAAAAAGGAAAAAGCACAAAAGTGAGCTTTTTTCACAGATTTTGCTAGAAAATTCTATTAGAAGCCCGACTAAAATGCATATTATTAATCTCAACTTTCCGCACATTGTAGATCTTCGATTAGTGGGTTGAATTTACACTTGATAATTGAGAATTCACTGTAAACAACTTATCAAATATGTTTGTTCTTAAAAAGACCAATTGAAAACCTTACAAGAAACAGATCAAGAAAACCTATAATATATGATTCGATGCGTCTTCATCTCCTCTTTCCAACGGTGAAAACCGCAGCTCTTTATCGTGCTTTGATCAAAAGTTATTCAAAAAATACTCACTCGCATTTTTTCAAAATTAGTATGAATACAACCGGTACATAACCAGCCGAAATAGGTTTTAAAGATAATTTAATATTATGATATTAGTTGAAGTACGATCAAATAGCATAG